CGGGCACGGGAGAGATGCAGGGGGTCCCAGCGGGGGTCCGGGGTGGGGGGTCACGGCAGACATCAGTGAGGGTCCCGGTGGGGATCCGGGGGATCACAGCAGGGCTCTGATCCGGGGGATCATAGCGCCGATGACAGCCCCGATAGCTGACAGGGCAGCTGTCACAGCTGTGGGGACTCCTGCTGCCCCTGAGGAAGAAGAGGAGAAATCAGCCGAGCCCCCCAGCCCAGCCCCGGCATGGGGCCCCTACTGTGCCCCATTTCCTGGGGGAGCACCCCGAGGAGGAGCAGCCCCCCCCCAGACCTCGCCTCCCTGCTGCCATCAGGCATCCCCGCAGCCAGGCCAGCGCAGCCAGCGGGGCCGCACTGGGCACCCCAGAGCAGGTGGCACCCTGGGGGTACCCACTCCCGTGGCCACCCCAGGCCCTCGCCATGCTGCTGGTACCGCCCGGGGAGGCCAAAACATGGGATGTGCTGTGGTGACCCCATGGGCACCCCGTGGCACCGCGCTGGGAGCACTCACCAAGCGACTGTGCTATGGCCACCAGGCTCCCAGCAGCCACACTCCCGCCATTGGCCATGGCAGCTAGAGACATCATTCTGGCAGCCACGGATCCGGCTGTAATTCCTGCTTTGGTGAAGCCCAGAGCACATAGGGCTGCCGGCATCGCAGCAGTGAGTCCTGCATCAGAGAGCAGCAGTGGTGACGCTCCGGCAGACACATGCGTGTTCCCAGGCTGCAAAACCCTCAGCCCCGGGTTGCTCCTCAGACACATGCATCCCCCAGCCCCGAAACAGGGGGGGTGTGGAGGCAGAGCTCCAGCTCGCCTGGGGCAGCCTGGAGCAGAGCAGGTGGTACAGGGTCCCAGGGCCAAACCTCCTCAGTCAGGGCATCAAGGGGGTCCTGCACATGGGCTTCTTGGGACAGGCTGAGGGACAGCGTTTTGGTGCGGGGGCGGCCCCCCCCAAGAGGGGTCTGTGTGTGCAGAGCAGCAGCGTGAAGCCCCCAGAAAGTGATTTATTTCCACGTGGCGTCAGCCATCCCCGTGCCCACCACCACCTTACCGATCCCTATGGCCACCCCGATGGCAGGGCCGACAAAATCTGTAACAAAGGAGAGATTGAGGGCGGTCAGTCGGCAGGGCTGAAAGCGAAGGCAAGCTGCTGCCCTCGCTCTGGGCAGCACTGCAAGGGGCTTCTCCATCCCCTGCCTGCACCCGCAGGCCCCCTCCTGCCCACTGGAGCAGCGTGTGCCTCTTCCCAGGAGCATCCCGGTGCCTCACACCACTGGGACAGTGGCTCACGCCTTCTCCAAAATGCCGGGGAAGCCCTGACGCCTGTGGCCGGCCGTGGCCCTGTGCCACGAGAGCCCTGAGCCCCCCTGTGCCTTTGCTCAAAAGCAGAGGGATGTTTGCCGTGCCCCCAGGGGCCAGTGCCCCATGTCCCCCATGCCGTCCCGCTGCGGGGCCCATGCCTCTGACCCCGTGAGCTTACCCATGGTGGGCTGGCCTGGGGGGCAGCCGCTGGAGTGAGACGTGTGCCGGGTCCGGTCTGAGCCTGGTCCTTCAAGGAGCAAGAACAAGAGTTTCTTCCTACGGCAGTGTGGGCAGCGAGCGGGGCCAGTGAGGCCTTGCTCTCCTGCCTGGGCACCCGCAACCACCCCCTCTCCCACCCTGTCCTGCCCCCCAAGAGTCCCCGGCCACCCCACAAAAGCAGAGACCCCCC